AACAATTCCAAGAATTATTAACACAAATGGACACAATACAAAGACAATCAATTGACCAAAACTTACGCAAACTTGCCGAAACTGCAGGATTTGCAGACATCTATACGCAAGACTATAGCGGATATTTTAAAGACATTAAAGATTATATATATCTAAACGGTGAAAAATACCGTCCCCAAGATATATCACCCATCAATATTTTTAGCTTTGTTACACTCAAGAATGAAATTCTTGATTTTCTAGGATGGCCCTACTACATCTTAGAAAAACTGACTATTTTATACGCAATGTTTAACTTTATTGGATTTCTTTTTTCACTCTTAAAAGGAATCTATAACACATGTGCTATACACACACAAGTCAATAGACAAGCAAGTGTAGCACGCATACTATTTGCAGGATTTTTTGGAATTTTTTCTACATCAATAAACAAAATTCTTTTAGATGCACAAATAAAAGAATACAACACAAAAATAGCAACAAGACAGAACACATACGACGAAGAACTTAACAATGTAGACACAACGCCAACAGCACCACAGTTACCACCCCTACCACATAACCATCCATTATCCCTAGTCCCACGTAATTTTCGAAACTTAGCAATAACACATAACCCAAATTTTAGACCAACCATATCACAAAGTCCCATCCAACATATAATGACACGCCACTCACAAGATGAAAATACTTATGAACAAATTATAGAACAACCCCATACCACCGCTTTTGAGTCTCAAAATAATAATTTTTTTAGCCCACGATGAGCCGACAACTTGGATCCCTACACCGATCAAATTCCCACCCAACCAATCTCACTACTCCAATTACAATAATACCACTTTTTGCTTTCCCACCACCCGATTTCCCAACCAGTAATGTAACATCAGGCATGAATTCCGATACTAATTTACACATCTCAGTTTTATACTCCACATCACAACTCAATAACCCGAATATTGAAACCCCCGACGAATTTGCCGACTCTGAACCATCAAAATCCAATAATTTTCCCACCAACCGCTCAATTTTTTCCCAACCCCCTTTTCAACCAATGACACCAAATAACCCTGTCCCCACCAATTCTACACCCTCTTATGCTTCCCAAGTCACTCCAACTTATTCTTCATATCATTCAGACCGATCATCCAATTCTCCAGATACCCCCCAAATCTCACCAGAACTAGATAATTTTATTACATTACAACAACAACCCTACCACCTTGATACCCCCACCATAAACCAAATTTCATCCACAATAGATTCATCCAACCCTCCTACCCCTACACCCTCTTCAATTTATACCGAATCATTAGCACAATCATCCACATCTACTGAATCTTCACTCAGCACTAATAGAGCTTACCGCACTTTTAAAAGAAAGTTCCCCAACCATCCTTTCCCAGCAAAACCAGGAACAGCCCGTGAATATATAAATCACCCAAATCACACTAATACAAAAGAATTTTTAGCTATGACCTTACCCTCATTTCCACAATACACCTTAAACACCCCTCACGACACTAACGAGACACGTAACTTTGTAGACGAACACGTTTTAATGCCTACCCTTCCTTGGACCTCATATTATCATTTTACTAATCCCCTTTGCTTACCTTTATCTAACACTCACATCGATATAGAACGAAATAAGGACATGCTATATCGACTCACTACACCACTAACACCTAAACAATTTACTTACATTGGATATAAAAAATCACTAAAAACACACACTGCACCCCGAGCTAATGAATATACACTAGAATATTACGATCATAACATCATCAGAGCTAACCAAGATCAATTCTTAGACGACGATCGCTTCGCTAACCCACAAATCACCGAGAAATTTTTCATTAAAACACCATATGTATTTACGCTAAATATCTTCGATCGCAAGTTTGACCACATTATTTCAGAAGCACTAACAGACACACAAGCCTACGAAAGTTTTAAAGAACGCTTCCAAATATTTTCACTAACCTTTCATTTCCTTGCACCACATGAAAGAGATTTGCACTGCTCACACGATATTATGTTGCGCACTAAACAAACACACACATACATATTATCGTTTCATCCAAAATCACTTTGACCTACACACTCCCTCCAGACAACCACACCATCGTTTTCAATTCATCAATTCCAAATACACATCACCATTTTTTCTTAACTTCACATATTGCATTAAAGATTCTAACCTTCATGGTATTCTTCGAAATTATGATCCCATAACCCAAATGTATATCTTCTGCCCCATCACCAAGACCCTCAACGCCGAAGAATCCCGACCCTTCCTTATCCCACACGAATTTGTACAACCTATAGAAATCCCCATTTTAGAATTCATCCACAACACTAAATTCAATCACAAATTATATAATCTAATCCAAAACACACCTTACGAGTTTGCAGTTGGCACTGAAGAACTAACCACCATTAAAGCACTTCAATTGCTTTGGCCACTGCTTCAAACTAAAAATATCATCCGCATCTTAGCTAAATTACTAACAACTTCAGATCTTATCCACGACATCTTCCCCCACGGTTTCTTCCCCGACGACTAACAGGTAAGTATGAACTATACATATTAGAAACTAATTATTAAAATTAGAAACTAACCATTCTTTATTCATGTCTTCTTTAGAATTTTAGCCTTCATCCAACGATCATCTGAAAAATTCACAAAAGAAAAATAAAAAATAGCAAACTTCTTCAAACACTGTTTAAAACTCTATTAATTTTTTGCACCAAATAATTAAATAAAAATAATACCAATGCAATAATTTAATTTATAATTTTTTTCCCAAATGCAGTAAATCTAATAATGATGAAAATTTGTAACTTAATTTTCCCCAACAACTAGCAGTAAAATTGAAATTCTATGTAGTAAATTAATAAGAAGCAAATGCAGTACTAACCTTTTGATATTTTCATTCACTCGCACAAGAATTCTATCCAAATTCGCACAGCTCGCCCACAAAGAATTGTTTAAATAATGAATTTCAGTTTCAAGCTTTCACACTCAACAACTCTAACACAAGATAACACGTTTCAAACTTTCCTTTAACCCGGTTGGAAAGGAATTATACACTAAACAACACTAACCAACGCAGCTTACTAAACACCACAAACCATAGAATAACAGCATGATTAAGAAAAGGAAAACAACGGTACCCAAACCGGATTAACCCAGTTTAAAACTGGATAATTTATTCTTTTGAAGACTATTATAAAGTCTAAGAAAGAAAAAATAAAACACAAAAAAGTCGAAAGACAAACCCATACCACAAACAATTTGATTTTTGAAAAAAGGACACAACCAACAAAACGTAAGAAAAACCACAACAAACCCAACATAAAACGTTGTCACATAACAGGACCTCTCACAAAAACCGCATGCAATCATACTCCCACTCCTGGCCTAACCCACCAGGAAGGACGTCCTGAGCATGCTCTATAGCCGGCCTAACCCACCGCGCTACATCCACGCTTTGTGACACACACTTCTATTTTTAATAAGAGCTACTCAAGGGTGAGTAACTCTTCAAAATAACTGAACTAAAACAAAAAGCTTTTGTGGAAACAACTAACTAAAATCATAATTAAAAAATATTAAACTAATAAAAGTTTTATAAAATGTAAATTATATTATGCAATATATAGATCAGCATACAACACCAAAGACGAACATCCAAAGACAAAATGAACCTACTACACTCGAAAAAGAATGGCCAACCACAATCAATATGCCGCCCACAATCACAACTCAAAGGATTTAGAGTACGACTTGACTTCGCAGAAAAGGACTTCATTGAACTAGACCAATGACCACCTCGATGTTCAAGTATACGTACAGATCCGAGTAACCAGGCATCCCCTCCACGCACAATCTCCACGCCATTCCCAGACAAGATCAAAACACAAAGAAGTTCTCACCAATGAAACAGAAAAACCTGACATAGCCAACCATTCTGAAGTCAGATTTGAGTTTGTTGCGAAAACCCAGTCGTTGTCATGAGATGACACAACGATCGAACCTGGAACTTCTCTAACAAGAGAACCCAGAAGAAATATGATGTTCGCCAAACACCAACGTCCATCATCCATCCTTTGAATTACAGAAAGACTATTCTAAAAAACTCTGTAAAACCCGGATGGGTGGAACCTGATCTAAACTACATTTTATGATTGGATAAATTAGATATTTTACCAATGTAAAGTATTTAATATTAACCAATCATGATCCATCTAACTAACAATCCACTTATTTGTAAGTGCTGAAATTACTTGTAATTTCAGCACCAGAGAGATTTGAATTTAACTTAGAAATTAGTTGACTCTCCAAGAAGACTTCAGCAACCGCAATAAACCAGTATACCCTAGATCTATTGAGCCTAGCAGAGACTAGTTAAACAACCTGAGACTAGATAGTATAAGAGTAAGATTAGGATTGGTATTAGACTAAGAAGTTGCACGAATCTATCCGGCCGAAAATAAGATAGCGTGACGAGCAGACGGTGTACCCTATCCGAAATTACTCTATGAGTTATACACCTTGGTCCTAACTCATTTCAAACAATTTTTATTTTTTTTTGAATTCCAAAATGGCGCTTAAAAAACTTCGAAAGCTAATTTAAATTTTCAGGGCTTATCTTTCTTTTATAAAAGCTAGTTATTCGCCTGCTCTCTCCCTTTATTCGCTCGAAAATAGACGAGAAAAAAAATTTCATTTCGGTTTTACTCGACACGAGGAGAAAATTTCAAGAAAAAATTAATGGCCGCTTGAATCACAACTAAAAGGGCGTCATTATTAATAAAATCTATCACTCAATCCTTTCCGATGATTTTTTGTGGTACCTGATGCCTGATTTTGAGCGGAAAACAAAAAAGTTTAAAAAAAGAACTAAAAACAAACTAAAATGCACCCGAATTTTCAATAACTTCCATGTAAATGTCCAGTATCTAGAACTGCAAACTATTTGATCCTTTCTTACTATAACTATAAGATCCGTCAGCGGTTTCGTGATTGTCTTCAGTCCTGGCAAGTCAACTGATTCCTCCGAGCTATCGCTCTTGACATTTGAGACCATCAAGCCCGACAGCCACAACAGATAGCCAGTGCAAATTTCAACTGGCAGTAGAACTATCACAGTCAGCCAGTTGAACATATCGTGGACTGTGGCTCCTGCGAAGGCTCTCTCGAACTCTTTCCTGACGTTGATCTGTCCCATGGCTACGAACGTACTTGTCACTGAAGTCCCGATATTGGCGCCCATTACCATCGGGATGGCTTGTTTGACATTAAGGGCTAAAAAGGGCCACAATAATCTTAAATTCGTAAAAAATATATATTTAATAGGGAATCCAAAATTATATTCAAAACAAAAATGGATCCAAGTTTGGATTCAAGGTTGAATTCTACGATCATTTCTAAGGTTGGATTCTACCAGATTCACCTTGTTCAGAAAGTACAGCATTCTCGCATACTGTGTTTTAACTAACTCTTGGATGCCACGAGAGTCACAATAATGGCAGTGGAAGTGCTCGAGCTCTGCAGAAGAACAGTGCCCATCACCCCTATCATCAGACCAGCCACTGGGTTGCGCATGATGTCACTCTCGAACACGGAGTTGGCAGAGCTGCCCATGATGAGTTTCAACCCGTTGCTCATGAGGTCCACCGAACACACGAAGAAGTAAAGAAGCACGAAAATGGCACATAACTGCAAAGCAATTCGGACACCTTGCCAGACGCGAGTCTTCTTGCCTAGTTTGCAATGTTCTATACAATAGCAAGTTAGGAGTAAGAATTGAAGTAAACACAAAATTTTAGAAACTTTGGATTCGATTTGACTGAACTATTAATTGTTCTAGATGACTAGGAGTCGCAATATTTGTTCGTAGAAAAACAGAAGATTTTAATCATTGTTTATCACATATTGAACCATTGAATGTGCAGAAAAAATTTCCGCTTAGAGCAACTTTTTCATTTTGTCTTTTTTTTTCATATTCTTCTGAAAGGTTTGGCAGTGATAATAAATAAATTACAACGCAACATCAGATAGTCTTTTCAGGCAATCTAAGTAACTTCTGAAAGAGTTGCGTCGAGAACTTTCTGATTGTTTTTTTTGTCAACCAGCCTTGAGGCCTAAAACGAAGGTTAATTGTTTGGGTCGACAAGAGCGCATTTAACCAGCGCTCATTTAGCTATAACTTAATTGCAAGAGCTTGTCACACCATGCAAGTAACAGCGCACGCGCGATGTGAACTGGTAACTTTGGGTTGGCAAAAAACTTTAGTCATACAATTTACACTTGTGAAACCAGTGTTTCACACTTCCAGAAAATTATCTGATAACTCTACGACGAGCGTTTTTTTGCAGCGTGAAATTAAGTGACTAGCGTTTTTTCGCAGGGTGAAATTGTGTGACATCATTTTTTTCGTTTTACGAAATTTTGTGACTAGCATTTTTTCAAATTAACAAATTTTTTGGCTCTTTTTCCTTCCCCACCAGCAAAACTTTACTAGTAACATTTTGTTCACATTATTGGATTGTTACAAAAATTGGTATGCAGACTAATTAGGCTATGAAAAACCTATTTGATCTTCATACTTAACCTTGTAAAACTAAAACAGCTCGTTACAACAAAATTGATGCATATGTGAGGCTGGGGGGAAGGAAAATGAGCCAGTTCTTTTTAGTTTAGCTTTAAGTTTTTGTGCTCATTTCTGAACTGATATATGTTATGATATTCAGGACTGATATTCAGGACTGATATCTTGAGCATTGAATCAACTTTGAATCATGCGAAAAACGCGAATTAAATAACCATTTAAAACGCATTTGGTCCAAAACTAAGGAAAAATACGCAGAAAAAAAACAGCAAAAAAAGAGAGAAGAGCCAATTTGAGGTTGCATCAAGTAAAACCGCTTCATTTTGACTTGTCTAACAATCGTATATTGCCTTGTCTAATAATCTTGATCCAATTTTTCTAAACAAAACTGTAATGTTCGTTTTGCATTATTTTGCATCATCGTATTTTTTTCGGTTTAACTAAAAAATACAATTTTCTCGTATGAAAAAACCAACGAGTTGAATGGCAAGAATCCCACATATAAACTGCGTCAGGAAATTTGGCATAAAAAACAAAGATCTAATTTTCAAGTAGTTTTATCAAAAATATGTAATTTCTCTTCATAGATAAAAAATTCTTTCGTTAAAATTTGATCGTATGTAAGCCGCGGCCTGTTTTTAAGACAGACCATAAAATTATCTTACTATAAAAAACAAAACAAATTTCTCGTTTCTCACAAAACACTTGGAATTCTGATTTTGTGTCTTTTGAGCAAAAAGCTGCGCCTGGACTACGTTATAGACAAAAATTCTAATTCTGCATTCGAATGTTTTGCGACTAAAGAAGTAAAAATTTCCCACCCAATTTTGAAATTTTTCGAAAAAATGCTATTTTGAAATTTTATCAAAAGCATTTTTTAGCAAAAAATTTGTCATGAATTGATTTTAATGCAATTTAATTATAATTAGGATATCAATTTTAAGCATCCTCAGTTTCAATTTGAAAAACTTTTGTGTTTGTATAAGAAAATGCTATTTTTGAAAAATTGCTAGTCATACTATTTTCAAAAAGTGAAATTGTATGACTAGCAGACGCGGATCTAGAAATTTCTCGAGGGGAGTGGGGCGGATTTGAAAAAAATATATAAAATTTTCTCGACCTTTTTTTAAGGTCGACCAAATAGATTTTTTGAGCTCTCCTAAGCCACTATAAAGACTGTTGACCAAGTTTTCTGCGCCGCAGGCAAATTTTTGAAAAAATGCCAAAAAAAAAGCGTTTTTAGGTGGTTTTTTCGGAAAATCTTGACCAAACATTTGCGCGGAATAGCATTTTTTAGCAAAAAAATGTGTCATAAATTTTTTTATAGTTTTTTGTCTCCGAAATTGATTTTAATGCAATTATGTTTAGGGTATCAATTTTGAGCATCCTCAGTTTCAATTCAAAAAATTTTTGTGTATGTAGAAGAAAACGCTATTTTTGAAAAATTGCTTGTCATACTATTTTCAAAGTATGGATTTGTATGGTTTAAAGCGCGGATCTAGGAATTTCTCGAGGGATGTGGGGGCAGATTTTCAAAAAAAAGTTGAAAATTTTGTCGACCTTTTTTTTAGGTCGGCCAAACTAATTTTTTGAGCTCTCCTAAACCACTATAAAGACCAATTTGACAAATTTTTCTACGCCGCAGGCAAATTTTTGAAAAAAGGCCAAAAAAAGGGGCTTTTAGGCACTTCTCGAAAAAATTTCGACCAAAAAATTGCATTTTTTCGGCGCGCGCTCGCCCTCAAAATTAGTATACACTGGTGCCGAAGGCGCCTTTACAAAAATTTTAAGGTCAGTCAGCCAAAAATGGGTCGGCAGGGTGTCGAATCCCCGAGGGGAAGCGTCCGCCCCCCTAAAACCGCTACTGATGACTAGCGTTTTTCTAATGTCGAGGTAAAACTGGAATTTTATGCCTGCTGTGCGCCATCACTACCGGAACGCCAAAATGCCGCTTAATTCAACTCGATGCAACTTTTATTTCTTGTTTTTTGTACCACTCGACGATGAAAGATGCGTGGCATTCAGTTTCTCAGTCAAGGCCCTAGAAATATTGATGCACTTCGAATCAGAAAAATTATAGATTTCCTAGCAGTACGTTGGCTTATGATATATTGTCTCTCCTGGCACCCGCACTTTTTTAAATTGCATATCCTTTTGAGTGTCCGTTGCGGTATTCGTGTTTCTAAAGCGAAAAACTTTGCTGCCAATTATTTCAGCGGTAGGCTGACTATACTCGCCTGGTTTGCTGGATTCCAAATCCAGATCCTTGATTGAAGAATCCGCGTGTTCAGAAGATGTCATATTGCTACGCAGAAATTTAACTAATTCGAAATATTTGAGAGATAACCTATTTTATACTTTATCAGCTGCTGTAAGTCTCTCAAAATAATCGTGAACTAATAGTGATCCCACTGGCAAAATCTGAACTTAGCTTTGAACTCAAGTAATTAAGAAACTGCTGATTTTGATTCCACTGCTCGTATGTTTTCAGTTTGGTTTTCGGATTAAATCTCGGCTTAGAAACGGACGATACACGAACCAAATGAGGCCTCAAAAATGTTGACCGTTTTCTTCAAGAACTGTCATAATAGACAATAAGCCCCATCACACATAATGGACTGCAATTTTGGAACCCAGATTAAAACACATGTTTAAAGCCGGCACATCTGTTGCAAATTTAAGCAATCAAATTTTGCAGCAATCTTAAAATAGATGTTTCAAATTTGAAATAAAGCGGAAATTAGTCTAGACCCAGAAACACAATGAGTTTGCTCGTTATTATAATTAGCCAATAAATAACATCACCTTCTGATCGATGTGTTAACTCATTTTAATTGCATTCACGAAGCCATTTGAATGAGTACCAAAATGAGTACTAAATATATAAAATATATAAAATGTATATAAAAAAGTTGATGCCAATTGATCCAAGAACAAAACTTCTGGCATTAAAAAATATTTGATGTACAAAACGTTGAAACACAAAGGATAAAAAATAATTTTTTCAGGCAACGCAAAATTAAATGATTAAACCATGCGGCAGTCACTATTATTGGCTGAATTGTCTGCATACTTTTGGCTGAATTGTCTGGACGCAATGTTGATCATCATACAAAACTGCATAGTGGCGAGTAACTTATTTGCTATCTTTCAAAGTCTTTGTTGCCAACTTTCAAATCACTCTAACTTGCATTTAAAAAAATGCCCGCATTTAAAGACTTCTATATTTGCGCTAAGAGCCCTGATTTTTGCAAAAGGGCATAAAAATAACTTTCTACAATTTTATTTGGAGAATAAAATTACGAAAAAAAATTCTGTAAAGCATTTAGCAACCAAAGGCTAGTAATGCAAGCTGGCGCATGGAACATGACACGGAAATCACAAAGTCAAAAAAATCAGAAAAACCATATCTACAAAACTTTTTATTAATTTTCACTTTCCTACAGCACAAAAAGCACTGTAAAATAGTTTTGCTCTTCAAACAACACAAAAAAATGTGCCTAAGCCGACATTGGACACAGAGGCGAAGTTTCGTTTCGCAAACACTTGCGAGAACACAACAAAAAGAGCACTATAAAGTGCAATAACAAAATTAGAATTAAAAAAAAGAATTAGCAAAAACTCACTTTTGAGATTCGAACCTACACCCTTGACTCGAATACTAACCGCTCAGCCATTGAAGCTCATTAGCCACCAAACACTAGCCACAAGTAACTCAGAGAACAGATGCTATGCAACCTCTAAAGCTACAGAGACAATTTCTAAATAAGTGAACACTTTTAATTGCGAGTTAAAGAAAAAGAAGGTTCGTAATAATACACTAAACTGATCGCAATTGTAGTAAGCCCAATTCTTGGTAGCGAAAAAAAGTAACACATTGAATGTCAAAAATTGCAATTTTTCAATTAACAGAACGAATTTATAGATTTACTATTTAATGAAGAAAAAAATTGTCAACATCAGAATTCGAAAACAAACAAGAACGCACAAACGATAGTGTGGCTAGTCAAAATTTGTCAAAAAATCAGACATATACAAACAAAAAAACTTCGGCCGAGAGTTGAAATCTGGACTCACAAGGCACACGCTTTATCACTAGACCAAGTGAGAAAACCCTCACTGGTGTTGTTTTTATAATAAGGCACGTTCATTTTCTTTTCAGTTTGTAAAACTTGTATATGGAAAAAGTACGTAGTGCCCGCCCCATCACAAGCGCTTGCAAGTGAAATTAAAAAGCGCCACTTAGATTGAGGGGAAAAGCGGACCAGTCGTATAACATCACACTCGATTGTGTTTTTTTTTCATAAGAAGAGCCAGTGGTTGCCTGAGTACTTCCGATTTTGCGACCAGTTATCAGGGAAAAACTTTACAAGTGTTGTTTTGATCATCATTTTTCGTTTTAACCAATTGACCATATATTTGAGTCAGGGATTAAGTATAAACTTTGAACGTCACTAGACCCCATCTGTCCGTTCGTTTCTTTTCATTTTCAGTAGTAGGAAAAACTAGTAAGATATATCATTTAAAGTTGTAGAAGATACCATATTAAAGCTCTTTCAGTCGTAATTCGAATGACTTTAAAGATTTTTCCGTGTCGAGAAAACCGATTCTGAAGCTTTTGATTTTTCGTCTACTAGTTTGGGAAGCTTCATGTAGAGCTTTTCCGGCAAAAAAAAACTTTCATAAATATTTAACAATTTTAGTTCAAAACTTTGTGGAAACTGAAAAAAAATCATTTTTTTTTAACACAGGCTCGCAATTCGGCTACATCTCGGAATCGATCTGCGACCTATTGTGACAGATAATGAGCCTCACTCACTAACAACTCAGTCACTTGTATTTGGGAGTTACCTTAGAAAAAAAGTAGGTTCGTAGTAATACAGTACGCTGATCGCAAGTGTTAGGACAATTTGAACCGCATGCCTAGTTTACTAAATTTCTACGCGTTCGCATAGTTCTATCATCACACGACGTACAAAAAAAGTCACTAATTTGAAGAAAGAAAACTTTTTTTTTCTGAGAATGTGGTCGGAACATTCTGTGCTACATGCACGGCAATCGGTTTTCCTTGTTATCTTTCATATTTGGCCCGTCTTCAACGAAACGATTGTGGTCCTTTGATATTTTAGAGAATATCAACAAGAAAAAGTCTGCTTCAAATTGTTGAGGTCATTTTTGCACGAAACTGTCTCTCTTGGCTCATCGTCCTAATCGCCTTCAAATATACATTTTTAAAACAGTAGGTCTTGATGTTTAAATTGAAAAAGAGAACCAAAAATGAATCATCAATATTCAATATTCAGATTGAGTGAGCTTACAAAATTAAAATAGAGCACTTTTTAGAATTGATTAAGCTGGCCACAACAGACAAGATCTCTGAGTTTGGTTTGATAAAAGAAACTTTAATATGAATCGCTGGCCAATTTGATCAAACAGATGTTGATTGGTTATTATTAACGGCAGTGGAAGATGAATTATTTCTAGTCCTTCTGAACTTGCACAGTAATTTCTTAACCATAACCCAGACAGAGTGAAAACAACCATCCCATGGTCCCAATGAGTGAAGAGGTTTCGGCAACCATTGCCAAGATCTAAGGAAAGGAGGCAGTACCCAGTAAAACCTCTGCGACTTCTGTAGGAGGTTGATCGCGACAACGAGGACCACAGACGAGATCAGAGAAGCAAGCACTGCTACTGTGATCTTTGAACCCAGAAGAGAGAGGACGAAGACGAAGAGAGGTGCCAGGACGAACATGCAGAGCAAGTAGAACAGGGCAAACCATCTATACTCGGCTGTCGTCTCGCCCAATTGCTTAGCCAGTCTGATGGGAATCTATTAAATGAAACATAACTTGATCATCTGCTTTTAATGCTGGTAATTTTGTCTGTATTTAAATGCTTTTGTGCATCAAAATAAGACTGACATTTTAACCTAGAAGTATTAATCACTGAATTCAATCAACAAGACCAGCTCAATAAAAACGATCTTATAAAATCTAACGCAGACCTTTCTCATTAGCGGTATCGGGTACCATATCAAAATGCCACTCAAATTGAAAAGCAAATGACAGAGGGCGATCTGGAGTGCCACATCGCGCATCGAAGCGTCAGCAGCCAACGCGGCTAGAAGTCCAGTGACTGTGGTTCCGATGTTGGAACCCAGAGTCAGAGGGAACACTCGTTCGATTTTGATCACGCCCAGTCCAACCAAAGGGGTGAGAGTGGAGGTGAAGACAGAACTGCTCTGTACCAGAATTGTCATAACAGTACCCACAAAGATAGCGAACAAGCCTGAAAGTAAAATAGATCTTGGCTGTCTCTTTCAGATTTGAGAATTGAATGACCACTAACATCTACCGAATTCCCGAACAAAACGACGTATTACAACAACGTTATATTAACCTTTTCTAAAGCACGATATAAGAACTGGGGGTTCGTTCATTATTACTGACCTTGTAATTATAGCCAACAGAAAATTAGAAAAGTGTAAATGAATTCAAGCGAACCGAATAATAATTAATGAAAAAAAAGCACATCACGCTTGAGTTCGTTAAATTTCAGGATACTTAATTACATACCTGTGAAATAACCGAGACATCCCGGAAAATCGTCGTTCACAGTCTTCTTGATCAACTCAGACATCTGTCCCGAGAAAATGCCTTTGAGCACTTTGACCAGCAGAATCAGACACGTGCAGAGAAACACCACTGACACAACGAACAAAATGAGTCCTGTAGTCATATCGGACAGCCCCAGCCAGTTGAACAGCGCTTGGCCTAAAAACGAAAACAAAACCTTGAAGACCGAAACTAATTTTTGTAATTTTTATACAAATTTGGTATTTGGGTTCGATTAAGTTCAATCTAATACGTAGTTTCTACATTTTTGAGGCTGCGCTCCGCCTTCATCGACGCGTAAGATCGCAGATTCATTGATGACAGCCATTGATAGGTTGGCTTGGCCCTCGGCAGCCAATGAGAGTGTCTCATTTCCGGATGACAGCACCATCAAACTTCGACCAATTGTGTCCGAAAGGGACTTGGAATCGCCACACCAGCGCTTCAACACCGGAGCGTCGCTAGAGGTGGAGCCATTGGTGGTTTGGACGTTGGTTATTACACTTTTATCCACCTGGTAATATTATTACACTTGAACCCATATTAAATGCCATTAAACAAGACTTACTTCCCAAGTTAAATCACAACACGTACAATCACTATGCGCTTCATCACTGGATCTGTCAAAAGATCCAACCCCGATATCTCGGCATCTGTTTTTTGATCCACATTGAGGAAACGGACGAGGAGAAGTGAGGCTGTCTGCAGGTATCCCGTGACGACCTCGACGGGCAGTAGCACCAGTACCGTGAGCCAGTTGAACATGTCGTGTACAGTGGCTCCGGCGAAGGCCCGTTTGAACTCGTCCTTGACCTGGATTTGACCCATGGCCACCAGGGTATTGGTGACTGAGGTGCCTATATTCGCACCCATCACTATTGGAATGGCTGTGTGAACTTCCAGAACTGAAACGTTCACATTGAATAATGTTACTTTCCTGTAGCTCAGTCTAGCCTACTTTTTGAAAGAAAAGCACGAACAAGAATAACTACTTCCACATTTTACGACATTTTCGACGAGAAACATTTATGGTAGTATAAGTGAAATCGTTTACTCATAATATGATTAACAACACATTTGCAAACGTACTTTTGGAAGCTACCATGGTGACTACAATAGACGTTGACGTGCTAGAGCTTTGCACTAGGACCGTGGCCAGCACTCCCACCATCAATCCAGCCACCGGGTTGCTCAACAAAGAGTCCTTCGTGAACACATCTCCAGCTGTCTTTCCCGCCATCAGCTTGAGGGAACTGCCCATGAGGTCAAGAGAACAAACGAAAATGTAGAGAAGCGTGAGCACGCTTACTATGCTGAAGACAGAGGAACGGATTCTGGCAAGTTTCCCACGACATGAGAGACCTGCGTAAAGATAAATGTTCATTTCACCAGTAGACCAATTAAGATATTTGGTTATTGACGAGGCGATACAAAAATTATGATGACAACTAGCCTTTTTGCCCCAAAACTTACCCTTGCAAACTTTTTTATATGTCAACTTACCACATATGTTTATTTGCCCTATGACAACCGGCCACACTTTCCAAGTGCCCCATAATTCTTTCTTCAGATATATATAACTTTCTCCAAATATTCAATAATTTAATTGACTTACCCCAGATTTATTAACTGCCTTAGATTTCAATTTGTCTAGATTAAAACTGGCCCCAGCTTATTTGAACTTATCTCAAATTCTTTTCAAAATGCGCCAAGTTCTTTAACCCAAAAAATTTCGATGACGATATCGAAAACTGGTGCAATCGAAATATCAATAAAAAGGCTACAGACTATTTTTTGTATTAAGTATTAATGATAGTAGTGATGTATATATTAGTGATATTTTTCCGTTGCGAAGGTAAAATAGAGAAATTAATGAGTACTCACTGCTCCAAGGTTGACTTTTGGACTCCTCCGCCACAACTGGAATATCTTCTTCGCAGTCCATGTTAGTCGTGGAATGACAATGGTTGCTATTGCGACTATTCAGTCCATTCGAGGAGTTCATTTTGGCGGCTATGTTGGCTGTTCTTTGCCCGAGCGCATTGCCCAATATGAGCTCCTGTTGACTGGATGCGCGCGATGAAAAATTGCTGATCTCGGAGCATGATGTTTTAGCCGATGAGGCTTTCGAGTTGTTATAACACAGCTTTCCATTGCTGTACAGGAGACCATTACTCGTCGGCGAGTTCTGCTCTTTGCTAAGTTGATTGTTTTCGGTCACTATGATTTCCGGGTTGGTTGACGAGATCGCATGTGCACTATTTGAGGAATGTTTCATCGAAACGGCGGCGGATAAAAATATTGCAGTTGAGGTAGACTTTTCAAAATGATATTCTCGTTTTGTGACTTACGCTAATTGTGACAAGTATTATTGCAGCGATTGTTTAAGTAGATCTCTCCAACTTTTCAAGACTCTGAAGTACAGATAACAATTTAAAGCACAAATTTTGCCTTCCAAATAACACGAGAAGACAATACTCAAATGGCAACAGTTGTTGCATGTCAACAAATCACTAGGCCGAAAAAGTGTGTACTTAAAAAAACTCCTACTCCAAAAAAACTTCGGTTCCCTAAGAAGAGCATATATATAAAAGACTTGAAATCAACGCTCATTGTGAAACAACTATGAAACTCCAGAACACTTACTTGAATAGTGCTCAACTATGCATCCAAATTTCATTCAGAAAAATTTTAACTATTCATAAATTATTGGACCTGAGTAATTAGAAAATAACTGAAAACAAATCCCTAAGAGTTGAATGTCTAACTAACATTTAAAATTAAATAGAATAAGAATAACGAGAAAACATATTCACATTTTATTCAATTAGAGATCCAAAGATGGAGATGTTCCGTTCAGCAGTTAAGAGGGCAGAAGTCAGAAGTACAATTTTTTGAAAATTCCATTTGAAAGTGTAACCCGTCTGCACCTCTTTGACCTTGAAATAAAAAAAGTAATTTAAGAAATGGAAAGGTCCAACTCTCAATTCACTTTTACCTTTAGGAGTAAATAAAGTGAATTGAATTTTATCCACAGAGGCACCTGACGTCGAGACGAATTTGCTACCTACATGAAACAAGGCACAGCATTATATCAAGTTTCGTTTCGAAAACACGCCGTGGAAAGGAAGCAAGAACCTTTAGTTTATTTGAGTGTACTTTCCTCCAAAATAAACTTTCTCCTAATATGGTTCCCTTAATCCGTTGGACAGCTCAGCATATATTACGTTTCAAATTTTGAAATTGGTTTCAACCTAGAGGCACTTACAAATCCAGGGCGCAGTGAAGGAAACTTGAAAATAATACTAAGTATTAAAGTTGGGACCGATTAGCAGTCTGACAGTAACGATGTTTGAAATCCGCCTTTCTCTAACAGATCCTTCTAGCAAAATAGCGGATAGAGAGTAATCTACGTGTGAACCATTTAAAACCGCAACTATTGTAATTTCGAGTGGTATAATACTAAAATTTGTTTATAATAGAGAAATATTAAACGACCAATCATCATTCGGTTCATACAAAACTATCATGGTTATGATATATTTGTGGTTAGTCTCTTTTTACTTTCACGAGATCAATATATGAGACAATTCAGCGAAGAAAAATTGTTTCACTCGATGCAGCAAGCTTTTAATAATTTTTAAGAGGTTGATTCACAAATTGCAGAAATAATGAACCTTCAAAAAGATCGTTTTTTTTAAGGTATAAAAATTGCTTAAAGCAACACTGCTACTGGAAACAAAGCAACTACTGCAACAAAACCTTTCTCCGGGACCTAAAATGACAAAAATCTTAAACATTCAAAAACTTTCAGTTTCCACAAAAAAAAATCAGGTCCTGACTGGAATCGAACTTCTTGGTTTGTCGTCTCAAGTATGGGTGTTACCACTGCACCAAATGCACAGAAAACTCCTTGAATTTATACAGAAAACAATTTTGATATTTTAAATAAACAGCATGCAAAAAATCAAAAAAATTGCAAAAATGGGCAAAACTCAATTAGTTGCCCAAAACCGGAATACACTGAAATGTTTTTCTAAGCCGACAAAAACGCAGACAAATTTATATTCTTGACGCAAGGAGAACTTTCTGCTTACAAAAAAAACAGGTCCTGGTCGGATTTGAACCATTGAAGTTTGTCTTTATAGGCAGTTGCGTTATCTCTTCGTCAAATGCGCGAATTAACTTCTAATTTCATATGAATTTTAAGACAATACTTTTTTAAAATGATAAAATTCAAATCAGAAAACATAGCCAACATACAGTTGGAAAAAGTCAATGAACGCAAATTGAAGAGTTGAGGGTTGACACTTTTTTCATGAAATAGACCTAATTTGAGAAAACTGGATCAATAGATAAAAACTAATAATTTGATGATAAATCTGATAAATAAAATGTATTTCGAAAATAAAAAGTTAATCAAGTTTTTCGTGACCTTTTAAACTTTTACTGTTTAATAGTGGAGTTTGTCTTCCTTTGAAGTTTACAAATTTTAGGAACAAATAAAAAAAATTGCACTCTAATTATAACAAGCATAACCGTGTGATGTGCATGAAACTCAGAGTGCTCCAAAAAAACTAATGTAAAGAAAGACTTCTGAAAAAAGAAAAAATTATATCAATAAATTGAACGAAAATTGTTTTGCATTGTTTTGTGCAAAATTTCTGTTTAAATGTCACTAAAAAAGCAATTGGGTTGAGACAAAAACATATTTTTAATTTGTTCTCGACACAGCATTTTTTGAACTTTTTTTCGGAGACCGAATTTTCGAGCAAAAAAGCATAAATATGCAAGGCTCTGCAAAAGTGGTACTTTGTATGCACAGCGGGGAACCCGGGAGTAAAAAAAAACGTAAGTGAAAAATTATTTGTAGGCCAGGTTCCTTTTGAAAACTGTCAATCTTAGTTCAGCAAAATCGACACATAGGTCTGGAATTCAGGGAGGATTTTTTCTCCACACTGAAATAACCGAAGTTTTTTGAAACTTAAAAAACGGTTGAAAGTGTTTTAATATGATATCACACATGACCAATTGAAACTTTTTCTTGAGGTAGACAAAAAAGGTTGACAAATTTTAAAACCAAAACTATAGCCAACAGACAGTTTGAAAAGAGTCGTGATCGCAAAAAAAACCAAGAAAACACTGTTTTTTTATGATGTTTGAATTTCACGAACAATTCATGGCTGAGGCTTTTTTTATCATATTGACCCATTTTGAGAAAATTAGATGAATAGGTTTTTTTCCGCCGGAGAATCTGAAAGTTAAAAATAAACTTTCGAAACTAGAATTCGATTACGTTTTTCCTGACCTCTACACTGTTGCTGTTCGATAGTGGAGCTTGCCTTCCAATCAATGAACAAAATTAACTGAACTTAAAAAGAAATCAAAAGTCAAACAACGAAAAAATAAATTTGAGCCTGAACATACTTTTAGACTTTTCATGAACAACAAAATATCACGACCTATATCACGGTCTGAACTATTCATCGATTCTTAAAAATATATATATTGCCTTGAAGATCTTTGAATTTCAAGTAAAGTTTATGATTGGCTTTTTGATACAATTATCTTTAGTTGAGAAAACTAGAGCGTTAGGTAAAATTTTTATTCTGCTTTGAAATGGAAAAATTAATTTCAACTTTCGAAACGATAAATCGCTAGTTTTTTCGCGCCATTTTCTCTTTTGTAATTGGAGAGCGTATTTTGCCTACTTTTCAGAATTCAAAAAAAGCACATATATCTAATGTCATTTATAAATTCATCTATTTGTATGATGGCGCTTTCTGTATTTATAAGAGCATTCCAAGATTTTGCAGAAAAAAAAACGAACTAAAAAACGATATAATCACGACCTATGAGTGTGAATTACGTCTATCGACTTTTAAAAATAGCTTTTGCAAAAACTTCTTGAAGTTTTTCAAACACAATGGTGAAGCGGAGCTTCGCATCACTGGCGATACAAAGCAAGCAAAATACAGAGTGAGAAGAAAACCGCAAATTGCAAGAAAAACCATTGCATGAAAAAAAAATTAAAACTTTATAATTTTTATCTTAGTTTCATCGAAACGCAGTCAAAAACGCAACATTTAGAGCTAAAAAGTCCGAGTTCTTCCAGAACATAATTTCATTTCAGTCAAGAAATTGAGACACGCATCGCTAGAATTTAACCGAATAAATTTCATAGTTGAAGCAATCAATCATTAAAAAAACTCCCTTATTTCCAGTCAAAGCCAGACAAAACTGGCCACAAAATTCTGGATGCTCAGATTGTTGTTGCGCATAAACTCTTAGCTACTGCAACATCTATATCTTAATTTTGCATTTCAAATTTATGCGTGAATTGGCGATGCAGAAGAAACCTACGAGACTTATCTCTTTCGATGGTGTGTTTGGTCATAATTTTACTAGGAGTCATTAAGAAAGGTCAAAATAAAAACCCCCAGATAACCTACTGTTCTTTGAATTAATTCTTGGAAAATGAGTTTACACCTCGAATTTCAAATTTAAGGCCGGTATCACTGAGAGTATAAACATGACAATGGAATGAAATGAAAATACTTTAAGTAACTTGATTTAGGATATTTTCTAATCATAATTAACATTTAAGCAGTAAAATGACAAGGGAAGGATATTAACATACTTGATTTGAGATGTTTTCTAAACATAACCGAATCAAACTTACCTTCACAAATGATAACAATCCAGTCGAAGCTCGTTCCAAGGAGTGAAGACGCAAATAATCGACAGAAGCAGCTAGTATCTTCTTGAGAACAAGAAGAGGAGTCACAAATGTTCCTCAATCAGAGGAACATGGATGACAGACATGACAGCAGACAACAGTTCGATAATTGCACAAACAGACCAGCTGTCTTTACAAATTATCTGAAAAGAATTGAAAACATCACTATGCATGGTATAACTGGTCCAATCGAAAGAAGAACAAAAAATAGTTGTATAACTGTCACACAGAAATAAGTTGATTGTCGAATGGTTAAACAATAGTTCATCAGAAAAAAAAAACTAACAAAATTAGTCATAAAAAATTATTTTTCATGTACGGTTAGAGGTTTTTTTAAATAAAATGTTCGATCAGAACGTCAGAAAGACAAACATCAGACTCCAGCAGTCGGATTACAAGGTTTACAAGTATGTAAAAGTTGACGCAGTTTTTCACTTTCGCGGAGGTTTTTCACTTCCGATAAAAAACGCACCACGATAAAGACAGAACAAAAATAACCAAGATGCGGAGCAAGATTTGGAATACTTCAGCAAAAGTGAAGTTCGGCGTCATAAGCTGTTAGGCGAGTCTGCTATAGATCAAATTGCTGCAGATATATCAACTATATATTTGTATATAGCGCGACATCACGCCACTTTTTACAAACAGAAGCAATACAGTTCCCGGGGGATAAAATAAGGACCAAGGAGGCTTTCGTCACTTGATGTTCAGTTGACACTATTCTCCCATTACCAATCAACTGAACAGAACTATATAATCAAATTTTTTCTTCCATTTTAGGAGAAAATGGAAATTAAAGCCTCCACGTGGCTGCTGAACAAACAAAAATGAAAGGTCTAAAAGAAACTGTATTTTTCATTATTTCTCCAAATAGGATTAAAGCTTAAAATAAGCTCCACAAGCTTTTAAATCTGGAGATTTTTTAAGCTATTCAGTAATAGCTAGAACAATTTTTCCCATGTTTTTATTAGATTCCATCATATCGTGTGCCTTTTTAACATCTACCGCTGAGAACTCTTCGTAAATTGATACTTTGAACTGGCCGCTTTCAAATTTTGGGACAACTTCATGTTCAAACTTGTTCACGAGAGAACTTTTGTATCCCATTGAACGGCTTTTTAAAGTCGATCCGAAAACGTTCAGTCTTTTTCTAAGAATCCAGCCCAAATTTTCTCCGTCAAGTTTCGACCCTCCCAGCGTACCATAAAGAACATAATAGCCATCAGTTTTCAGGGACTTCATGTTCTGGCCAAAATAAGATGCGCCAACTGAATCTAGGATGATGTCAACGCCTTTGGGTTCATGGTGAGCCAGTTCTTCATCCCATTTGGGGTGCATTTTGTAATTGGTACCACTTGTAGCGCCAAGGGCAAGACAATAGTCAATCTAAACAAGCAGCTACTTGAAAGTTACGCTTGGTAAGAAAGAAAAAGTGTCTATGACAAGGAAACAAAAAAAATCACTGACGATTTTTTTGGAATATTTATTTCAAAATTCGAAGAACATGGCCGACACTTTTTTGAATAGTTTCTTTAATGATTTTCGAATTTCGAAGAAAAAATTGTGCTGAAGCTCTTTGAATTTCAACATTTTATTACTGACCTTTTTTTCAATAAAGTTGACCCAATTTGAGAAAACTAGATTAATAGGTACATTTTTTAAACTCCGCTGGGAAAACTAATCATTAAATTCTACTTGTGAAACTAGAAGTCGTTCGCATTTTTTGCGCCATTCTCTTTTCTTTAGTAGAGAGAATGAAATTAAAAATGAAGCTCAACTTAATGACTGAAATAGATTACACAAATCGAAAAGAGTTTTGAGCAGAGTTTTGAGCAAATCGAAAAGAGTTTTGACCTCAATAAGTATCTGAACCCAGTATATCGACATTTTTAAAAACATACAGCTTTTCGAAATTCAAGAACCTTTTATGAATGAAACTAGCCCAATAAGAGAAAATTGGGTCCACATTCTAGCGTGATCAAACTTTCAAACTTCTTCCTGAAAACAAACACGACCTGAATAAATGGTCCTCACTACGTTCATTGACAGTTAAAACAAGCTCAGTCTGTAATACGACACCGAGGAGCATTAAAGTTGCAAAAAACCTAATCAACGAAGACCGAGGTTGTGACTTTCATATTCATAAATTTGTACTTGTTTCAAGCAGTAGCTGTCTTTGCGAGAAGGAGGAAAGACGAGATGGCATACTTTCTCTCTGTACTCCGACCCAAAGCCACTCAAATATCCATTAAAGTCATCAAAATAAAGTCATCAATATTAAGTCATCAATATTAAGTCATCAATATAAGTTTTCAAAATTGACAAAAAAAACGACTGATTTGAAAAATTTCTACGAAAAAATTTGTTGCAGCAAAATACAGAAATAGCAAATAGAAATATAGCAAAAAAAAACAAAATAACTTAGGCTAATGAAGAAGTTCGATTTGTTAATTTTCTATACATACTCCGACATAAAATGATGCATTTTAAAAAATTGACAAAGTAAAACTTTTTTAAATTCGGAATAGTATTCGTTTATAAGCCCCCTCATTAAGCTCCGGCAGAAAATCTACTACTATTATTTGAACCACACAAATTGGTATTATACAACCGGTAAAATATAGAACGAAAATCTTTGACTGAAAACAAATCGAAACAAAACAAACATTAAACGCTGCATCAAAATTATCCATGAAAAAGAAAAACAACTTACACTCAATTTATATATATTCAAGAAAAAACCAAGAAAAACTGTAGAGCTTAAAGTTTGAAACTTAATTGTGTAATTTAGCTGAAAAAGTAAGGTGGATACTTATAAAGCCGATCAATTCAACAAAAAATATTAGAAATAAAACCAAAAACTATTTTCAGTTATGTAGACCGACGATTGAATAACTCCAATAAAAAACTTCAAGACAGTGATGTCCATTTAAGAAATAAATCAAACTAAATTGATATTTCATTTAAATTTAAATTTTATTAAATGTGAAATTATGAGCCCAGCCCACTCAATTAAGATTTTTTCAAATTTAAATCGAATTTCAATTGAAAAGTATTTAACTTGCTCGGGCGGTTTTCGATCCAACGCCAAAGCACACAGTTTAGTTATGTCAATTAATATCACTTTTCACAGTTCCACGAAAAAGCAAAAAATCTAAGTTTTCACGAAAAATTGCCCAAAATATGCACAAAAAATTGCTTTAGATTTATTTTTTTAAAATTGCGAAACAAACCCAAACATGGAGAGCATAACATAAACATAGTCCAATTTGATAACGTTGGCTAATCGCAAGCGTACAAACCATATTTCATAACTTTGATAAAGAAAATTTGCTTTTAAAAATTTACGAGCTATAAAATACTTTGATAAGTTAAGGTCAAAATCATTTGAGATTAAAAGCCATCGCAAACGGCTCATTTAATTATGGGAAAATGCGATAAAAGAGAGAAGCCACGTGTTTCAAGCAGTACTAACATGCTTTGGGAATTCTTGTCAAGCAGCAATGTATTGAAAAAAAAACAGATAAAAATTGCTAAAAAATGTGAAAAAAGTTTCAAAAACAAATGGGCGTGAAATAGAAATCAATTTGAAAATATAAACTTAGCGAATAATGCCTTCGACCCATGAAATGAAAAATCAATCGAACATCAATCAACGCCTGAGAATCGATGAAAAACGACCCGTTATAAATTTAGAATAAATTCATTTTTTCAACCCCCCACACGCTACTTAATTTAAACATGCTGTATTTCTCGTTTAGTAAAACGTTAATGATTCAAATAGCTCGCCTGAACTCGAGTTTGAAACATTTCTTAGCCGAATCAATTATTTACCAACGCACTACAAATTTCTAAAATTGCACATTACTTGTGCGCACATTCAAAGTCCAGAGCACTAATTAGAAGGATATTTCACCCGGGATTGGTAATTATTTTCGAAAATTATGATGGTTGAAAATATACCTTTGTTATTCGAGCTTAAGACTATGATTAGAAAAAACTAACTCGTAATCTAACACAATCATTCAACTAATTTTTTCTTCAGCAATTAAATGAACAGCGCATTAATAACATACGAACAGATCACAGAATACCATCGATATTTTACAACGCGAGAGACTAATTCTAGTAAAATTTGCCCGACTAACCAAAATAATTCTATACAACAAGGTTCTAACCTGGAGAGGCTATATACATAGTTTTTGAAGAGTTTTGAAGAGAATTCACTAGTCAAGCCCGCGGAACATTTATCCGTGGAGAGCTTATTCAAAGAAAAAAGAATGCAACCAATCTATCTGAACAAGGGAATGCGTAAGTATGTTGGGCAAGTATGTGAAAGGAGTCCCGCGCATCACTTATACTGCGCATTTAAGTATAACTCAGTTATGCAATAGACATCGCTCGATCGTTTTCAACACTTTTTTGCACCGAAACAATTTGCTTCATTTGCTCTAACTTGGTTGATAGCTCAATTGACATCACCGAAGCAAAACATTGATGAATGACTGTGAGGCTTTTCCTAGATTGCGGAACCCTATGGGTTTGATGGGGCCCCTCTATTGCAAATGTAAAATCCTCCCTATTAGGAACAAAAACTATACACCGACAAGCTGTGTTTAAAATATCAGGGGGTTCTGATTATCTGGGGGTTTCATTAGGAAAAACTTCAATGGCCTTGACCACAATCAAGATCATAATTTAAGAGTTATCTTGCTTTGCCTGAGCTCTCTTCTTTGCCCCTCTTTCCGCTCCACTGCTGTGCTTTGCGCTGCCGTGCCTTACACTGCGCTGCCTTGCTCTAAACTGCCTTGACTTGCTTCGTTGCCTTGCGCTGCTGTCTTGAATTGCCTAAAACTGCTCTACCTTGATTCGCATTGCCCTGCCTTTTTAACGCTGCTCGGCCCTGCCTTGCGCTGCCCGCACTGCATCAACCTGCCTTGCGCTGCCCGCATTGCTTCAACCTGCCTTGCGCTACCCGCCTTGCCTTGCACGGTCCTGCGTTGTGCTGCTCTGCCTTGCTTCACGCTGCCCTGTCATGCTCCTCCTTTCAATGTCCTGGCTTGCCCCTTTATACTGTCCCTTCAAATTAAATAGTTTCAGTTGAAAATGAATACAAGGGGCAGCGGTGGTGGCCCCAATAGTCAATGTTGAAAAGTGTGATCACGACGATATTTTCTGGATTACTTATCACTGGATACTGGTTGGAACTACACTCTGGACGGCTCCCGACTTGCTGTGTTCACCATCCCAATTACCAATCAGCTGAGTTCACTCCAATTTTGTTTATTTATTTACTTTTCTTAGTCTCGATACCTTATGATCAAAATAGTAGCAGCTAGTTCTCTTTACCATTCCATCAATAAACTTGAAAAATCGGAACAGGATAAGCTTGCTGATCCTGTTCACTCTTTCCCTGGCCTGAATCTTGACACTAACACGTCAAGTTACTGCCTCGATTACCTTAAATCAGCCCCTCTTAGAAACTAAAAAATTGTTCTCTGGCACGATTTATTAAACAACACAAAAACATCGCACCCAAAAAAAGGCAACATACCCCAAACAGTCGAAGAACTGATGGCGACCCTTATGACTATTCCAAACCTCTTTTGCGTCGTTACCTGTCCAGGCAAAGGTGCTCTCTATATATTCGACTATCTTCTAAATTCATTAGACTGTTACGTCATCGACGTGACCAAGCACATTATCAGTGCTTCCGAAAGAATTGACGAATAGTTAATTGCCGAATACCGAAAACTGCACCAGGCTGCTGACATAGAGTTGAGCTGCTTTGCTGCACTATTTTTCCGACTTCAATAGAATCTTCAAAACACGTGGCACGAAGACTGCACTGGTCTAAGTGAAGCCGCTGTCAATGGAGTACCAGCCTTAGGAAAAAATGCTCTATTGATATGCAACAAATGCGAAGAAAAACGTCAAGATAATTTGACCCAAGCTTTCCATGAAACTACAACCTCAAAAAAACTTCAAGAAACTCAAATGAAAACCCTGGAAAACAAAATGACTGACCTCATGAAAACAGAGACCGAAATCAAAACGCTCTTATCCGAAATAACAACCTGATTCGGATTATCCAACCCCACCTAGGTTGATTGCCAGTCGCCAAGAACCGCCACAGAAACCCGCCGAGGAACTCGATCTCATCCGCATACCATTGATCCCTGAATCAACGGAGAAGGAAGCAAGATTGCGCCAAGAACACGATCTCGCCGAAGTTCAAAAAGTGTTGACCCATATGGATGTCAATGCCTTAATTGGCAATGTCATACGCCTGGGTCGATATGACGAGAACAAGACAAGAAAAATCCTATTAAAAGTGTCCAATGCATACCAACGACGAATGATATTGCTATCTGCGAGGAGACTTAAAAACTCCCCACAACCAATTTTCCTCAGCCGACATCTGACGAAGGAAGAAGCTGATCAAGAAAACCTTGCCCTCGTCAGTAGAAGGCAACTTATCATCGACAAATCTGTAGACAGAAAGGACCTAAAGTCCGCGATGCAACTCTGTACATTCGGAAAGGTGGAAAGTGGATAAAAGAGAAACTACCAGAACCCGAAGCGTCAAATTGACTAGCAGCGACGATAAATATCCTTGTTTACAATGTCAGAATTATACTTGAGTATCAACAGCGGACAACCTTCTCTAATGCTGTCCAAGTAAAAAACGCTCATCAAGTCATCTGCCTAACTGAAACCTGGTTGACAGAAAGCATCGGCGACGATGCACTTTTTCTGACAAACTACGTCATCCACCAAAAGAACAGACCGAGCGACAAAGGCTTGACAAAACATGGTGGCGTACTTATAGCAGTAAACCGTAACATTCCATGTAACCCAATCAATTCCACGTTTCAAGACTGTGTTATCATCCGCATATCCCTGAACAAGCCAATTATAATATGCTGCATCTACAGCGCTCCTTCAAACAGTACCTACACATGGGGCATCTCAGATCTAGTCGAACTCCTAAAATTCCTGAGGCGTAAGCAATTTGAACAAAGTGCAGTTTGTTCGTATGTAGTTGGAGATAAAAATTTTAACTGTACACACTGGCCGTCAATGACTTCAACTTCACTAGATGAGCAGTCAATCCTCGACGAACTCTGTGAGTCAAACTTCCAACAACTAATTAAAACCCCTGATGGAAAATCACTAGACGTTCTCCTTAGTAACAAACCGCATTTTGTCACGAGCGTAAGACATGACAACCGTCTGAGTAGCCTATTCAGTTCCGACCATTTGTCACTCAATGCCAAAGTCTCATTTAACTACCGACCTGTTCATAAAAAGACACCAGCCATCAAACAAAAACTAGATTTTGGCATTTTCGCGTACAAGAAAGCAAACTGGGAAGAAATGAATGAATTCATTCGTCAACACCCCTTCCAGCCATATTGCTTGAGCAACGTTGACCTGATGCTCGATAATTGGTACGAGTGGTTACACAAAATACTACAGGACCTGCTACCAATCACTACCAAACACAGATCTGGACTATCTCCTTGGGTGGGAAGGCAAAATTAAAAATCTGCAAACCGAGCTAACACTGTCCCTTCAAAATGACGAGCATCTCCACGACTATCGATGAAAAAGAAGAGGCCCTAAACGAGCTGGACGTAAAGAAGGCCAATGGACCAGACAAGATTGGTAATGCGTTTCTGAAAAACCTCTCAAAGTCACTAGCAAAATCACTTCACTTACTGTTCAACTTGATTGCAAATAAAGCAATATTTTCAACAAAATGGAAGATCAGCGAAATCGCACCAATTTTTAAAGACGGGGATAAACAAGACGTATCAAATTACAGGCCGATCAGCCTGCTGTCAGCAGTGTCAAAACTGCTTGAGAAACTAATATTTGAGAAACTGGCCCCAATTGTCTACCCAACCCTAACACCAGACCAACACAGTTTTAGACCTAAGCGATCGACGATAACAAACCTAATAGAGTATCTACACGAGATATTTAGCTGCCTAGCTTTGCCAAACTGCAACTACCTGAACAGCTTCTACTTGGACTTTCAAAAGGCATTTGACAAAGTCTCGCACGGAATCCTCATGGAGAAATTATCGACTTCTGGAATTGGAGCAAATTGTTTATCTCTGATACACCGCTACCTCTCGAACCGGAAGCAAACAGTGAGGCTGAATGACACAATTTCCGGAGAGCGTCGTTCCCCAGGTCTCTAGACTCGGGCCGCTTTTCCTCTTAGTCTTCATAAATGATCTACCATCCTGTGTCATGTCCGCAACATTTGGTTATGCAGACGACAACAAAATTGTTGGAGACAACCCTTTAACTCTCTACATAGATGTTGGGAGACTTTGGAGGTGGTGCGAGGAAAACTGCATGTCAATGAACCTGACGAATAGCAAAGTCCTCTGTATCAAAGGATCAGCTACGATTGCACTCCCCAACTACAGCTTCGAAACCACTGAAGTAATGAAAGATCTGGGCATCCTGATAACTGAAACGCTCTCTTGGACGCAACACGCAAAAAAGAGGGCTGAAAAAGCCTTAAACGCTCTCTTCGTACTCAAAAGGAATCTCTCAAAGGCAAATTTCGCGACCAGAAAAAACGCATATATCTGTTACGTTGTGCCAATTCTGTGCTACGGTTCAGCTATCTGGAAACCATCAAAAGGTGACTTAGGAATCATAGAAAGTGTGCAGCGGAAAGCGATCCCGTGGATTTTCATGACAAGCAATAGCCATATCTCCTATAAAGACAAACTCGTAAAACTTAACATCCTTCCTTTGTCTCTATACCAAGAACTTCATGGTGGACAGCTGTTTGCAAAAACATTGACTGGAAAAGTTGACATCGACTGGAGAAGCCATGTAAGCATCACTGACGTTATAAACCGAAGAGTTCAAATGACACGAAATTTCGTCTGCAAACAAATGCGTCTGAAGAAGTGCGAGTCGGATTTCTGGTTTCGGGCATTTCGTCTTGCTAATCTGTACAACGAATACCTCAAATGTGACATATTGTTTAGCCCAGAATGCAAAAACATACTTCTAGGAATGTTCACTAATGTTCGCTACAACGAATCAGATACATGCACTTGGCGCATTTTATGCGAATGCAACAACTGTAGAGACCAGAAGAAACTTACACTTATAAGTGAAAACTAAACTTTGAACACTGCAATGACTGGGTTTTATGCGAAACCTTGGATTATATTCCTAAGTCCTTTGTTATTATGATTATTATTATTATTATTATTATTATTATTATTATTATGATTAGTATTATTATTATTATTATTATGATTTTATTATGATTATTATTATTATTATTATTATTATACGCTGCCCTGCCATGCCCCAACTTGCCTTGGGCTGCCTTACCGTGTTGCGCTGTCCTGCCCTGCCTACCGCTGCTCTGCCTTGTTTTGCGTTTCCGTGATATGTTCATACGTGCCTGCCCTGCCTTGCCTCTCTTCCCGCTGCCCTGTACTGCCTTGCTTTATCCTGCCTTGCCTTGCGCTTTCAGTCAACATTTCAGTTAAATTCAGATTCTTGGTTAATTATGCTATTGAATCATCAATATTTTGAAATTGATCAAGTTCCAAGCTCATAATAAGGCTCTCAAGTAGGTTGGAATTCATCCATTTCAGATTCAATAAAACTTGCATTTTCAATCCTTCCTCTTAAACAATGTTCCTAACAATTATCTTCAAATATGCAAAAAAAAGCATTATATCCATAGACGATTTTGCATTGAATAATAGATGCTCATCATTGAGAACACGCGTTTGAAGAATCATCTTAACGTACCTTCTCCGCTGATCCTGCAGTAACGTAACACTTCATACCCAGATCTCGAGTCAATTGAATCAAAGCAGTTCCCACTCCGCTCGCTCCTGCATGCACTAAGGCCGAGGTGTCTTGCTTTCCCTTCAAGTAATCCAGAAACCCCTTGGCTTCCAAATGCAACAACTGGAACCCAGTCAACCAGTTTTCCGGAATCGCAGTTGCTGTTTTGAATTCCATGTTCTGCGGAATTGCCATTGCCAGACGTTCGTCGACGGTTGCGTATTGAGCGTAACCTCCTCCAGGCAAAAGAGCAAAAACACGGTCTCCTATTTTGAACTTCGAAGAATTATTGCCGCATTTCACGACATATCCAGACACCTCTAGACCTAGAATCTCTGATTCTCCTGTAGGCGGGGGATAATCACCTTTTCTTTGAATGATATCCGGTCGGTTCACTCCAGCAGCTATAACCTGAATCATTATGTGCCCGTCTTTCGGACCCAAAGGTAGATCGGTTTCACCCCATGATAAGTTCTCCGAGCCCCCATATTCGGAAAGAAGAACAGCATTCATTTTGGAAGAAGTGGGAACGCGTAATTGCGTCATCGCTCTTATTGCGTTTCTTGATCTAATGCCGAATAAATTGTGTGATTGATAAATATCAGAAGTAAACGACAATTCTCTCAAAAGTTAGATACTTGAATGTCTTGATTATATGAACTTCTACTTATTCTTCAACTAAACTTTTAGTATATCGCACGTTTGCTGAATTAATGAGTAACAGTGCAATTTTTAAATCCAAAAACTCTTGCGCAGTGATATTTTTATGTGAACCATAATATAAAATTTCAAGTATCCAACTTTTCGATTTTGCCCGAACTATTCGGCACAAACCACGTCTGAGAACAAAACCAAAATAACTTTTACGCCAAAGCAACAGCATTGTTGCTGATTTTGAAGTACTGCTGATTAACAGTTGACTTTGTTCTTCACAACCATCAGAACACAACAACAATTATCATTTGCATGTTATCTGAAACAGAAAGACAAATTTTTTAAATGCAAGTTAAGTGCATGAGGGTTAGGACGTCCAAAAATGGAAAACTGTAGCAAAGCGATGAAAAAACTTTCACTATCACTTGCTCTGTACAAATAAAACATAGTAAAGGTTTGAAGATTGTCGCTTCGACTGTTAAGAAAATACTTTCAAGACTGAAAGCGGACATCAACACAAATTCTGGAAAAAGACGGAAAAAGAATCGTGTACATCTTAAAGTATATTAATTGAAAGAAACCAAAACAACGAATGGTTCTCAATTCAGTAAACAAAAACACCACAGGCATAAAATTTAGTTCGGCAAATTTTCCATTTTTGATATAATTTTCGAATTTTTTTGACCTCTCAAAACCAGTTTCATACCATATACTATCTTTTTGAACAGCAAAAAATCAAAAAAGTATTTTAAAAAAAATCACAGAGAACAACAAGGATAGCCGGTAACTGTGCAAGTAGCACGCACAGAATGTTCCGACCAGTCTTAAGAAATACAATATTGTTTTTTTTTCAAAACTGTCGTTTTTTTTTCTGTGTGGTGTGCGAAAAAATCCGAACGAAAAAAAATTAGATATTTTCGACAGTCATAGTAAAATAACCAATTTGGAAAAAAAATTTTGTAGAAAAAAGATTTTTTTGCAGTATCTTGAATTTTGATTCTAAAAGGGCGCTAAAATCTCTAAAAAACTATTTTACTTGAGTAAAACTAAGTTTGTACGGCTTAAATTGAGCTATTGTAAGCTTTAAAGTTATTTTAATAAGCCATTGTAAGCCTGCTTGCTCGCTTTACTCGCTCGAAATGAGAGAAAAAAATCTAAAATTTGGAAATTTTACACCGGTTTTTCTCGACACTGGGGAAATTTTATAGAAATTGAACTATTTTTTTGAACCACGACTGAAAGGGCTTTAAAATGATTATCACTCGACTCACTGCAATCATTATATGTAGCAGCTGATTTTGCGTTGAAAACAAAAAAAAATAAAATTACAGACCCGAACAAGACACACCCGAAATCAAAGCTCCTCCCCATTTTTCAAATGGTCGGAACAACAAGGATAGCGGTTGATTTGCAAGTAGCACAGAATGTTGCCACAACATTCTTAAAAAACGCAAAAAATATTGTTTAATCTTCAGTATATTGTCATTTTTGTGCGTGAGGTAATGAGAGAACGATACAAACGCGTAAAAAGTTATTGAATTCGGCAAAATTGACAACACTTGTTTTCAAAAAATGAATAATAAAAAACTTTGTAATTTTCTTATTTTTTTTTTGCAAAATCAGTGTCCTTTTTTTCGTGGTGTGATACAAGGATCTCAACGAAATCCTAAAATTTCGGCAAACTCTAAATAAAGTAAAGAAGGCAAATAGGACAACAGGTTTTGAAAAAATCTGACACGAAAAACAAAAACAATTCACAATTATTTTGCACTTTTAAAATTTTGCGCTAAAAACAACCCTGCCAAATGGCGCTTAAAACTTCTTAACTAATTTAGCTGTAGGAAGAAAAACGTTTCAGGGCTTGAATAAAAGTTCAACGGCTTGTCCTTCTATAATATGCCTGCTCGCTCGCTTCAATCACGCGATAACGAACTAAAACTATCAAAAAATTAAACCTTTTCTCGACTCAGACAATATTTTAAAAAGAAGGTTCATGTCTTTCGAATCACGGCTCAAAGGTCTTTTATATGATTTACCACTCGACCCAGTCCAATGATTAATAGCGGTACCTGTTTTTGCAAGGAAAACAAAAAAAAATAAAAATACCCGAATAAAAATCCCCCCCCCCCATTTTCAATGATCCCTCGCAACAATCATGACATTATACTTTATACAGTCTATTTACTTCCACAAAACTGTCTGATACTGTTTCTATCGATATTAATCTATTTAAACGGCCTGCGTAAAGTAGAAAAACTCCAACACAAGAAATATTAGTATAAACATTGAAAAATCCTCCGAATTGCTTAATTAGTTGAACATTAATAATTTAAAGCTTCATAAGCTGATTTTTTGATACAATGTCTTGAAATTTTTTTTTATACTTTGCAACTTTCCCAAAAACATAAAATTTCTCTAAGAAAAAGTAGCCGCTTCAGCAGGAAAAAATTTCGCTTTTCGAAATCAGTAACTTTTTTCTGTTAAAAGCAGGTAGTGGCGGCTAAAGCCCAGAAGATTCGCAAAATCGAGATTCTCGATTGAACACGTAACCTGATAATCGGCTCGGTAATTTTCGAGTGATGTCAAAAAACTCCGAAAAAACGGTCAAAGTTTCAGACCTTTCACTTGTTTGAAGTCCAAAAGTTTTTTTTGAAAAAAAAACTGGGTGTAGCAAATTATACAGGTAAGCTTACAACCACCTGTTGTGGTGATTAAACCAATGATATCAGATTTGACAGAATAATTATTAGGAAAAGTCCAAAAAAGAACAACAAATCAGATAGTTGACATTTCCGAGAATCAGAACTTTTTGTTTTAACAAAAATGCGCTCAGCCTCTTCTGCAGAAAAAAATCAACCAAACTTTTATGCAGAAAAAGATCAACAGAACTTCGATTGGGCACAAAAACCCAGGCTTGGCAGGGTATTTCTCGAGAAAGGTCAAAAAATTTCAAAAAACGGTCGAAAAATCAAAACTTTGACTTTTCCGACGGCTTAAAATTTATTTGTCACAAAAACTTGGACGTAGTCGGTTATGCAAAAGATCTTCTCACAACCCGTTCGTTGGATTGAACCCAAAATCCTAGCTATAGGAGGGTATTCTTCGGTAAAACTAACAAAATTTAGAGAAAAAAACGCTCAAAAAATCGAAAATTGTTTTTTTTTCTGAGGACGAAAACTTTTTGGGTAGAAAAATTGAGTGTGGCTGCTTAATCATAGAAGCTTTCCATTATCTCCATTGAACCCACAGTTCAAAAAGCAGTCAAAACTATAAAAAAAATTTCACTATTTTGAGCGCCATAATTTTATGTGTTGAAAAAATTTGGGAGTAGCCGCTTATGGAGGGAAGCTTTTCAAATCCGCACTATTCATTAAAACAAAAAAATCTCAGATTTAACTGGTTAGTTTTTGGGAAAACGCAAAAAAAAAATATTGGTCAATTATTCACCCCATAGACCTTTTCGAAGGCTTTAGAAAAAAGGCTTAAGCAAAAAGAGACCAGGCACACAAGGTAGAGGAGACCTTTCTAAGGATAACCCTTTTTTGAAAATCAGCAGAAGAGCTTTTGAGAAACTTTCAGAGTCTCAAAAAAAAAGAAAAAAACCCAATCACATTTATTTTTATAAGACCTATTTTTATCAAACAGGAATTTTTGACAAACATACCAAGCAAAGCATTTTGAATTCAAATTAGCAACTGAACAAAATTTAAGAAGCAGAAACAAGGCCGACATTCTCTGAGCAGACATCAATTGTGCCGGAAAAAAACGATTCGCCCGAGAAACTACCCAGTAGTAACTAGAACCCACTTAGTAGTTAAATTTGAATTTTTCCCGAGAAACTACCATGTAGTAACTAGAACCCACTTAGTAGTTAACTTTGAATTTTAATGAAATTGAGCATGTGAGCTGCTTTCGAATTGTCATGAAATTTAGCATGTCAGCCGAAATTGAGAAGTGATTCAATTAATTTTGCTAAACTGTTGTTAACCCGAAAAAACCTTAATTCCGATTTGATAACACTTGCTAAACCCAAGAGTAATAGATAACTTCAGAAGCTGAACTTCTTGTACATAATGACTGAGCTTGATGATTATTCCGGTTTTTTTGAGTCTCTGAAAAACATTAGCAACATGGCTCCATGGATCATACGGAAAGCAGCAAATGCAAACCATCTGAATGTGATGTCATAGTCTTCCGTTCACTGAACATGAGCAACATGGCTACTAAATGATCATTTATTATAGAGAAACGAAGCTGCACTTTGCGAACACAAGCGAGAAAACGGCAAGTATGGCTATAAAAAGCAAACATAAAATGTATTAAAGAAAAAGCTAATCATAAGCCATACAAAAATAAAAAAAATTTTGCTAAGCGCCGGAATTGAACGTCCGACCCTCAGACATCTGCACCACGATCGCATGGAATTTTAGTAACAATAGCCACCAATAACGCAGCTACAGATGCTTTTTAATTTCGTCCATCAATGATCCAATTCGTGAACATTTGCGATTTGGTATGGCTTTCATTTGCTTAACGCGCATTATTCACTGGCCAATCTATTGAGTCTGGCTTTGTAAAGTTAAGATTCATTGGAACTTGGTGAAAGCGAACTCTTTTCGAGCTCGCATTTTCTGTTAGCTGTTTCTTTTTTCTTAGAACTTGTGAAAATCTAAGTAATACGGGTCTACCACCTATGAAGGGGTAGCCGCTGGACTAGACTGAAAAATCAATGCAGGTCACAATGACCTACTCAGTATTGCTTGCAATTTTTAAGAGTTCGTTCACCGTGATTGTGTTGTCGAAACAATGGAGGCCAAATAAAGCTTCCAAACGAACAAAAAAATGCAAAAAAAATCACATTTGGTAAATTTACTAACTTAAGACAGAAATCGAAATACTTTTAAATATAATAAGAAGCGCTTACACAAGCAAACAACTCAGCCGACAAAATAAGCAGACAAACAATAGGCCGAGAATTTTTGACAAGTAATTTTTCCCGTTTGAAAACAAAAGATTCTTGCCAGATGCGTAATCGTTACCTCTTGACTAAGTGTGCCTGATTAGCTAACAAATATAATATTAATTTAAGTCTAATTTTCAAACTATAAAAAAATTTCGTTATACGTGTTGTTAACCTGAAAAAACTCAATATCCCGATTTGATAGCGCTTGGTAATCACAAGCGTATTCATACACTGACAAGAAATTAAATAGTCCTGGTAATTTTGGATATCATTTTCGGATTAAAGTGTGATAGAGGGTCCCATGAAGCTAACATGGTCCCTAATGTAAATACAAGGCTTCAAAATTGTTCAAATTATTGTCTCGGTGATGACAATCAAAGCATAAAACAATTTATCGCAAATGAGGCAGGTAATCTACGTTTGAGAAAACTTCTTGAAAACGTTCGGGCAGCTTACCCACCCATTGATGTACTTAATTTCTATATTTGCTTAGAATTAGCGTGATTTGGGACAACTGTCATATTTGGTTTGTACTGGAAACCCTCTATCACACTTGTACCCATATCCGTTCTTCATTTTTCAATATCTGGAACAATTTGATAAAATCATATAGTATCGAACAAGGATAGCCGGTTACCGTGCAATTAGCACAGAATGTTCCGACCAGTCTTAGAAAAATACAAAAACATTTTATTTTTTCAAATGAGTGTTGTTTTTTTTTCCGCATGGTGTGATAAAGATATGAACTAAAAAAACCAACTTAGGCATATTTGACAGTCATAGTAAATAGGCCATTCGGAAAACAATTTTTGAAGAAAACTGACTAGAAAATCAAAAAAATAATTGAATTTTAAAAAATTTCAGAAATTTTCGGAATTTTTAACTTTTGTTTACCAAATGGCTTTAAGAAATTCCAAAAACTACTTTTATTTGAGTACAACTAAGTTTTCACGACTTAAAGTAAGCTTAAATAAGTTATTGTAAGCCTACACGCTCGCACTATATTAGTTCGAAATTAGACCAAAATCAAAAATTTCAAACCGGCTTTTCTCGACACTGTCGTTCAAACTTTTAATGTCGTTCGAATCATGATTGAAAGGGCTTTAATATGTTATATCACTCGACCCATTCCAATAATTATTTGTGGTACCTGTTTTTGCGTGGAACAGAAAAAGAAAAAAAAACAAACACCCGAATACAATGTTCTTCTCCATTTTTTTAAATGGTCGGAACAAAAATAGCAAACAAAACAATGAAGTTGTATACAGACATGGAACGCTCTACCTATCTTTGTGCAAAATTTGAACTGCTACGAGACATTCAAACGAGCTCTTTACTCGTACTTATTCTGCCAAGCATTTTGATTATACGGTCCACCTTTGCGATAAGTATGGGCGGTAAAGCCTACATCATCATCATCATCGTCATCTTCATACAGGTAATGAATGTTCATCAATTGTATGGACAAAATTAATAAAAAGAATTTTGGGACAAAACCGTCAACATGTAAAAATACACAAACAAAAACTTCGGCCTTTCAAATCAACCGACCTTCACCAGCTTTAACGAATAAATAAATGCAAAAAACTCATAAATTCAGTTATTTTCATCTAGTTATTTTTATTTGATCGTTTGAAGTTTTATATTTAAAAAAATCTATGCTAACAAGCATAAATGCTTACTAAAAAAACCTACGCAAACATTATAACCTCGTCATTACTGTAATAGTAGTTGCAAATTGCAATGAAAGAAAGATGTCAAAACTGGTCAACCACTTGCTACAGACAACACATGGCTCCTTTCGGTGCTTATACTTTGAACGGCAACTAAACTTAAACGGATTCAGCCAACACTGTATGACAATTTGAAACTGTTCCAGTTTATCACAAAAACATACCACACTGTTCCACTGAAACAACAATGATCGAAATATAGCACTACTGAGTTTCAGCTCTTTTTCTACATTGCAACAAGCGGTAACAATGAACAAAAAAGTTATCCATTCAGCAAACACGTGATAGATCATACCATATTTGCAATGTTTTCTCATTTTGATCTCTAATTTACTTCGCTGTAATTTTAGTATATTTTCAGCTATTATTAAGTGTATTTTCCTAACCATTTATCAAAATATATCTTCAAAATGGCAGGTAAAAATTGTTTTTCTTACAAATTGTAACCGAATGCGACTCAGAGGCACAATTCTGTAAATCAGACAAACTGCTGTATTTTGGAGTGTTTTTCTTCAGGCCAAATTCTTTCTACCATAAAAACTGTAATTTGAGACGAATTCATCAGCAAAATTAATAGCATACAATGATAAAGCAATATCAAACCAACGCAGTTTTCATGTACTTGTCACCAGTTTGATGGACTGTATAACTCATAAATTAGAAAGAATAAAAAATCACGCAAATTGCTACTTCTTTCATAACAAAACATAGCCGACTGAGATATGCGACAGCCTTTTTGTTTTTCAAAGAGTAGTCACAAGTTTTCAAATCTCATAAACGAGAAAACTAATTAATTCTAGCACACCGCTGAGAACAAACTTTTGTTTTTTAATGAAACACCGTTTCGTGAGAGTCATTTTTGTCAAACTGGACCAAAGCGCACTATGCCTCTTAATTCTCAAGTTCAATAAATTGGTCATTCTCAATTTTTACTTCAGATTTGAAGACAGCCCATTCACTTTATGTGATTAGCAACACATCAAAAGATGGCCCCTTCTCAATTATTCCCAGCCAAATTAGTCAGTGCAATAATCGACAGAAGCCGCAACTCTCGCTCTAACAGTCGTAAGAACCATCCTCAACATAGCAATAGTAAACATACAAAACCACGCAGTAGAAGCCTCACTAACAGTCCGAAACTGTTTTCATTCTTACCAGCAACAACCAAAAAACAACCAGTTGAAGAGGCAATCAGCATTACGCAGCAGAGTCAATCTTCACTTTACAATCTCTATCTCAACTTCGGTCCAAATAAAGATGCATATTCAACTTCTAACACCAACATTACGTCCGGCCGTTTACGCGTACCAAAGAAACGTGTGCCACTATTGTACGAAATAGCCAAAGACGAACAGCTTAATTTAGATTTCGCTAATTCAGAAATGACGGTTGCCGAGAGCATTTCGAAATCGCGAGGTAGAAAGCGGGAGCATTCGGGACATAACAAAACGCACCCAGCTGGTCGCAGTCCAAAAATGAGCAGTAGTAATGAGACACTTGACAGTGAGACTGGAAGGAGGTTTGGGATCCCAAATGGATTCTGCCCGGTGGTTCTGTCAGTCGTCAAACCGATTAGTGTGCAGTTGGGACTCAGTTTGATTGCTTCAAACGACGAACGCCTAGAAGGATACTTCCATGTTAGATTTAAACATTTATACATTTCACTTCGCTAATGAAAATAAGAGAACCCGCTCGCATTAATGACACAAGTATTGCAAGGGATCACCACAAAAAATATATATTTGGCGTGTAGCCAAAAAAGCATTTAAAATTTCGGATATTTCAAACTTGTAAATCAATCTGTCTTGTTTGAGCCGAGGTGAAACATTTATGGATTAGGACAAGCATTTGATTTAAATACGCTCGTTAACGATAGTTCTTTGAGAAATAGCACGCATAAAACTATCTGCAGTCCGTACACTAAAATCTGTATGCACTCGCAGGTTCGCAAGCTGTTGGACGCAGGTGCATGTAAACAAGATGGGCGAATAAAGATAGGCGATGTACTGGCTATGGTGAACGGACACCACCTGCGTTACTGGCAACAGATGGAGGTCATCAACCTGCTCAGAAGGCCACTCGAAAAACTTTCTCTAGTACTTCTCAGAGAAAAGGATCCCTTTAATATTAGACAACGGGGTCACTACATTCCCAATGGGGATGAGAGGGTCAGAAGTAGAAGTATGGAGTCCCTGAGCACTCCTGCGATGCCCCGAGGGAGTAGACAAAATCTGATTGCCGATGAGTTTGTGCGCAGGAGCAACCCCAATATTAGTGCGGTGGATGAGCCACCCAGAGACCTTTATCTAAATCAGAATCCAGATCGAATTTCTCAAAAATCTGGATCCGGTAATTTTTGACAGACCATATATTCATATCTCCTGTTTTTTATATCTGATTTTTTTCAGGCAGTCATAGCCACAGGTCAGACCGGCATAAAATTCTGAATTTCTCCGTAACCTTGGATAACCGGGTTTTCACGAAAAGATGAGAAATTGACTTAACAATGCGGATAGCCGGTTTCTGTGCACCTAGCATAAAATTTTCTGTCTATTGTCATAAAAAATACAAAAAAAAGTGTTTTTTTTTTAAATTAGGGTAGTTTTTTCTGCGTGGTGTGATAAAAAGATCTAAACAAAAAAAAGCATCTTAACGAAAAATATTCTACAGTCATAATAAAATAGACCAATTGGAAAACAGTTATTGTGGAAAAACAAAAAAAAATCTTAAAATCTTTTCAATTTTTTTGCAGACGTTTTTGGTTCCCAAAATATCGCTTAAAAACTCCAAAAACTAACTTTACTCGAGTGGAACTAAGTTTTCACGGCTTAAATTAAGCATAAATAAGCTATTGTAAGCCTGCACTGCACGCTCACCTTATTAGATCTAAGACCAAAATGCTAAAACTTCAAACCGGTTGTTCTCGACACTGAAATCACTCGGCCCGTTCCGATGATTATTTGTGGTAACTGATTTTGCGTGGAAAACAAAAAAACTAACACACCAGAATACAAAGTCGCACCGCATTTTTTAAAAGACGAAACAATAAAATCTTTCGCTGAAAAACAAAACACTAACTGTTTAGCTCCTTCATTGCCTGACCTGAGCTCTAAGCGACACAGTCCCAATCCCATTGGCTACAGCTATGAAGGCTCATCAAAGTCCGCATCAACCGACAAACTAGTCTCGAATGGTCACGTGCTGAGTGACGAAGACAGCGAAGACGAACACGATCATGAGAGTGTAGTGACGTCACTGTTAAATAAGTATAACCCCAGACGACCTTTTGACGCGAATGCAAAACCGGAACCCATAGTCTACACTGGCAAGGCCGACAGAAAGACAAAAGAAAAAGTTGATAAGCTGAAGGCACATTCTCCAACCAAAAGGATTTTGCAAGAATTGCCACCGATGACTGAGAGGAAGCAAAGACCTGTCAGCATTCCCAAGCTAGGTATGATTTTTAGCACTTGGAAAACTGACTTAACAGCCTCCATTATTGGTTTGAATTGCTATTCGTGCCCTTATAATTGCAGAGATAATTATCTGATAATTCCTCAAATGACTCGGTATGGTATTTATGTTTCAGACTTAAGTGACGCCGAGAATTCAGATACCAATCTCTCGCAATTCAACGTAAATGGAAAGGAGACCCCTCTTTACGGCGAATTAGACAGTCGTCGATACTCCCAGTCAAACGCCGTCGTACCAGTAGAGCACCTCGCAGCATCACCAATTCCAAACACTAATGCTGCCCTGGAACCCAGATTCATTCCAGAAATAAGTGACGCCGATTTCATTGACCCACCTCAATTGAACTTGCAAACAGTCGCTAACCAGCCCCCTGAAGAAAGGTTCACCAACAAACCTCCAAGTCGATTTCAGGACACCCCCACTGCAAGTGGTAGAATATCACAGGTTCCGAAGTACCATTTATCTAAACAACGAAACCAGAGGCCTTCTCGCTCAGAGCCAAGAGGCAACAGTGCTGTCGAAAAAGATAAATCAAATCTACTCAGCGCCGAATTGACTAAACTACTCGAGGAAAAAAGATATCGGAAGAAATTTGAAAACCGATCCAAATCTGCAACCGAAAAATTACAGCCAGGCAGTATTGTTACACCACCAAAATCGCCATATGACCAATATAATAAAAAATTCAAATCTTCCATTTCACAGCCATCAAGTTCAAATGAAAACTTATTGCATGCAGATGCCAGACAATCAAAAACTTACTCATTTGATGACCAGTTTCCGAATCTAGAAAATAAACTGAAACCTCACAATTCGGCGTCCCTGGTTAATCTGGACAGTAACTCACCGCCGCTGGGATTCAAAAGTAGCCCAACTCCATATTCTAGAATAGTCCCAGCAACTGAAAAACCTGCGTTTGTGCAACCCTCACCCACTAACACACCTCAAACAGCATCTCCGGTGAGACCCAAATCAAGACGAAACTGGGCCGCAGAAAACGATGGTGGCAATGATTTTGAATTCGCTGATGATTTACTTGACCGAGTCAAACAGATATCGCGCGAGTTTGACGTCGATCCGACAAACCCTATACACGAAGACTTTGGAAAATTGCCAATTTATACTGACAAAAACGGAGAAAAATACTACCAAGGGCCTGGAAATTGTAGTCAGAGGCCTTCTTTTATTGACGAAGATGACGACAGTCGTGATTATCTGTCTTTTTTGGACGACTCGAAGGTCAATATTGACGATTTCTCTCTCATTGATGAAGATCGCTCTCGTAAGTCAGCATATCAAACTCCTGGAGACATATTCGCTAATGGCTTCCATAGCAAAACTGAAGAGCCCGGAAACAACTCTACATCACCTTTTCCGCCAGAACCTATGCAAAATTACTCTTATATGCAGACCAATCAAATTAATGATCCAGATTTCTCGCTGCAAAATTTTGCCCAGTACTCGAGGGAAAACAGCAGTCCAGGTGGTAAAAGCGTCAACTCAATTGCCTCAACGAGCAACACCTACGACATCCTATCAAGTCCGGAGAAAATAAATCTAGAAAGAAGCGCACCGCAATTTTTTAATCCATCTACAAGTGCAAATGAACTGCAGCCCATGAGTGAAGAGAATTCATCCGACGAAGATTTATCGGCGTTCAAAGACTCGTTCACGCCACCAGAGAGACAAACTGTAACCTTGCCCGACGAAGAAATTTTACCGGAAAAAGACGAACCTTCGTTCAGTCAAAATTCTCAATTGGAACGAAACAAGCCCTCCGTATTCAATCCGCAGCCATTGTCACGAAGGCACATTGCACCCAAACCTCAAGATCGAGCAAATCATAAAGAACCTTTTGCTCGCGAAAGAGTCCCCAATGTTACTGGTGCTCAGCCTCAAGATAGGAAGATATCGCCTATTCATGAGCTAGAGGAGCATGAAAGTCCTGATTTTAAAGACAAAATGAGCCAAAGGTTTGGAAGTCTTAGAGTTTCTCCCCCTGTTTCGCATAACAACCCAAGAATTGAAGAACTCCTAAATGATCAACTTTATGCTGATTCACTGCCTCAAGTATCAAGACAAAGACCGAACGAATTTAACCATGTGCCCAGGAGTAGCAACTCTAAGCCACTCAACACTAGCACGTTAGAATCCGAAAGCAAAAACTCGTTTACTATAGGTTTAGACGAAACAGAAAGAGAGGGTGAAATTTCCTACGCCTCAACTCCCACTATTTTGAAGGATTCCATGGTAACCGATTGCAGGTTTTCAGACGATCCCAGAAAACGGAAAACTAAAATTCCAGTTCCTAAAATATCGAAGGAACCCAATGGCAAAACGGAAAACAAACCACCCGAAAAGAAACCCGTTTCAGTCGTAGAATACAACTTTAAGACTCCGGCTGCTGTGAACCTTATATCTTATGATGATTGGAAACTTAAGTTTTCTGAAGACGTTGATCCCACGGATAAAATTCAAAAACCTATTAAGGCTAGGAAAACTCCCAGGGTCACGTCAAGCAAAAACAGACAACCAAGTCTTCGAGAGAAAAAGAGGCGAAGCCATGCCTCGCAAAAGTCGGAAGCGTCCAGGAATACAACCAAGATGCCTAATTCCAATCAAAGTACTACGACAAATTCCACTCAACGTGCGAAGGAAGCTCCGCGCAAACATTATGATCACCCTATCAAGCAAGTACGAGTTATTCCTCAATCACAGCCTATCAACTCGAGACCCGAGAAGCACATGAACCGAAAAAGTTATGACCATCGACCTGATCCTAACAGGTCAAAATCAGCAGATACTGTATCCATGTCTGATCCCAATATCCCCCATAAAGAGCACGAGCCTCCCTCTTATAAAATCGGATTTCCAGTGTCTCGAAATGAAGATGATCCTAGATCAGAGCGAAAGAGAAACAGTTCACATGATGAAAAAATGGGATTCAATGTTGCATTAGGCAGCTTCAACAAGGGGTCCAGTCGCAAAAACAGTCCTTCGCCTCGTAGCTCACCAAAAGTGACTCCAAGGAACTCTCTTGAGCGTGGCAAGAGTCCTGTTCTTAGATATATTCCTCCTAATTCTAAAGCTCCCTTGAAGAAACCATCTCCTCAGCAACCCTCACTGGTTCCCAGGCTCCCCGAAACGAAGCAAAAGATAGTACAGCCACTAAATTTCATGAAACTGAACGAGAACGATTTCAGGGCGAAACGAAATTATTTCGAAATCTCAGCTAAGCTCAAGGACGGAACCAACACAGTCAAGGCGAAAGACCAAAAGCAAAAAAATGCGAGCAACAAAACCATAGATCCAACATGGATTTGAATTATCTTAGGACTCAAAGTGCAGTAAAATGTTATTTATTTTGGAACTTTGCAATTGAAGGTTTAGATCATCATCACATTTTTATCAAATTATTTATTACTTAAATATGGAAACTTTATAGAACAAAAGCTACTGTTTTTCCGGTTTTCTCATTCTTTGATGCCCAATTTTTTGTCTGCAGAATTCTCTTATTTTGGAAAATCTGGAATTACAGCTTTGTTTTGCAAAGGTTTCCTTCATGCAAGTTTTTGAGAAAATCTGGAATTACAGCTTTGTTTTGCAAAGATTTCCTTTATTCAAGTTTTCGGAATTTAAATCACTAACAAGATTGTATATCGCAAAGGCCAGTTTTACCGAAAAATTTTGATACTGAACAATTGCAAAATTTTGGACTTGGCTTTTAAAGCAAAAAGGAACTAACTGTTTCGACCAATGAAAATGAGGAGGAACTTTGTATTCGGGTGTGTTTTCATTTTTTGTTGTTTTCCACTCAAATCAGGTACCACATTAATCATCGGACTGCATTGAGTGATATTTTAACTGCTAAAAGCTTGCAATTGCTTAATTTAAAACGTAAAAACTTAGTTTTACTTGAGTAAATTTACTTCAGATTAATTTTAAAATGACTATTTTTGGAATCTAAATTTTCTAAAAATTCAAAAAACAGCAGAAAAAAAGTTCATTTTCAAGTAACTTTCGTCATAGCCATGACTTATGTAACCTTGACTTTTATTTTACTTTTAACTTCAAAAACTTTTACGTTCGAGAACTAGATTTGAGAGTTTTATATTGATGGAAATTTACGCGGTTCGCCCATATTTTGACAACGTGACTTCATCAAAACACCTCGAAAAAGTGAGCACTGGAGCATAGAGGTCAACTATACCTTTCGGTTACAAATTTCAGGTAAATTACTGCTAAGAAATTAACCTCAACAGAATAATGCAATTAGTTAAATGCCATGTTTTAAGAACTAACTCAAATGACATTCAGAACTAACTCTAATTCTTTTCATTTATTTTCGGTGAGTTCTACATCGACCATACAACACAAAAAAGAAAGAACAAAAGAGTTTTAAAAATAGTAAATTGAAGTACAAAGAAAGAAGGAATGAAGGCGAAATAAAATCCGTTCTGATAAATTAATAAAACTAATGTAAACATGCAAATAGACAAAGAGTTGAAACTTTTCTGAAAAAAATGTTTTTCAATTTGCTAATTTAACTATGAGTGTCGTATTTTTTTAAGTCTATGGTCGAAACATTCCGTGCCACTTGCACAGTAACCGGCTATCCTTGTTTCAATTTTTGTTTTAGTTTCAAATTATTCCCACAAAAATAGCTATTGTATCATGCAAAAACTTTTTGAAACTCAAACAATATTCTGAAGCGTCAGACAAAAATCATTTCTAAATTAGAATTTTTTGACACTGCCTATCAGCACAGTATTATGTCAGGTGCAGTTTATATATTGCCAGAAGCAAGTATATAGTCAGACACACTCATGTTTTTCTGGAGTAAAAATAAGATTTTCGAGTATCACGGATTCAATTAAAACTTCTCCTTTTATTACACTTACTCGCTCAAAATTAAACAAAAAAGCAAAAACATCAATCAACTCTTTTTGATTGAATAATGAACATTTGTTAAAAATTTAAGACACATTCTGATAACTTTTTATCGTGCGAAAAAAGCAGAAAAACAAACAAAAATACTAATAGACACACGAGGACCTTTCCAAAAAAAAAACATTTGCAGTAATCAGAACAAAGACGATAATTTCCAAAGCTGGGAATCTTCATTTTATTATCCGATATTATTTAAGAAACGCTCTAAGGCAACAAAGCGGAAAAAATAAGAATTTATTTATACCGATACAAACAAACTATAACTTATTGAATCATTCAAAGCAATATAACAGGAAAGAATAGACAAACAATTCATAGCAGCCCACTTAGAGCCTAGCCTGGATCAAATCAAAGTAAAATTTTACCAGACAACTTTTAACAATCAAAAGTATCCCGCAAACGTTAGTTCAAAAAAGGCGATCAACTAGCTGCGCATTCGATAATATGAAGATGTCTTTTCAGTTTGTTATAGTAGATCTTAACATTAAGCAGCCTAGTTTTCGTGTAAAAAATATGTTATCAAAACGAAATCTTTTTAGACTAACATTTTTCAATAGATAGATGCTTGGGAATTTCTGGTATGATTATATCTATTAATAAGCCTTGATAATTTTCGTTTCAAAGAAACATTGTTCAAAAATTCCGACACCCACATATCGAACTAAAAGTTTTACATAAAACTCAGGAACAGTTCAAAATTTAAATTGAAAAATCCTCTTCAGAGCTCTCGTATTTCCGCATTGACAGATCATTCGAACGATTTTCTTTAAAAAATAGATTCAAAGTTAAAAATTAGTTACAGCTGCAAACGATAAGACCGCTCTATATTACAGGCTTGATATTTCAAGAATTAGTACTTGAAAGGAACTGTGCCAGAAACACAATGTCTCATTTTAGAGATCACGCAACAATGCCGTCCTACCTATGAGTTGATTTTGCATATGGCCATGGTTGAAAGTGGAAAATGTAATCATCAAGACAAAATGGGAAACCAGAAGCAAGTTTTCTATTGTTGTAATTTCGCTGACATTTTCAACAAGGAACTTTCTGTAGTCGAATAGTTAGTGAATACGTCCAAAGTTCATAATGGTAAATATTTTCGAGGATGTTGTATTTATCTTTTACATATTGGAGTATATCACTTCAGCTGAATCCACCCAAATATCGGAAGCTACTATTATAAAATAAAATTCACCGCGGGAAGTTCTAAACGGAAAGTATCTAACATATCTGCGGTATTCAAAAAAAGGAAAAATCACCAGCGGATACAAAACCAGTATAAATGGAATACTCCAGGGATCAGTTTTGGGTCCAGTTCTGCTCTTGGTCTAAAACTGATCCCTGATGCTATTCTGGATCTATTCTTGAGCTGTAAGAATCTTCATTTTCGCGGAAGAGGCTAAAGTATATCGTCCAATTCAAGACATCAGGCGTATTCCGTAAGCAAAACCACTAACGGGCAAAAGAAAACTGTTCCGAAAATTTTTTTACAAATTTACTCAAACTTTACCGTGAAAAATGCGAGCAGATTACTATAAGAAGTAATCAAGAGAATTCAGTGAGAAATTGTGAAATCGAAGGCGAGAAGTTCAACGAAGTTGAAAATGAAAAAGACCTCGGCATTTGGACAGACAAATTGAGCAATGAAACACATCAACAGAAATTTATCAATAGCGAATTCTATGAGACCAATTATTAGAAAAACTTCGAAACATGTGTTTTTGAACATCCATGGTACGATGCCACTATGAGCTTGCAAATCTAAAAAACCACCGGAGATTTAAAAATCACAAAAGGATTTTTGAAAATGTGCCGAGATAAGAGACCTGCCTGATTGAGGGCTTCCTTATTTTTTTAACCAGAGATCAGAGGCGAAGCTGAACTTCGCAACACTTGCGATTCAAAATGAATGAATATGATTGAAGTCAAATAATGAACAAAAATGAAAACATAACTTAAAAAATCGTTTTTGTCAAAACAATTGCAAAAGCAAAAAAGCCCAAAAATATTCGGAACACAGATACATGAACAATTGAAACTTTACAAAGAGCTTTCCGAATGCTTCAAATAAGTCGAACTTCAAAACACATTTTTTTTGTGGGAACTAAGTCAGCAAAAATAAGCAGACACAAAAATCCAAAATAGTCAAAACTTTTCAACTTGAGAAACAGGTCCCGACTGGAAACGAACTCCTGGGCTCTATCGTCTCAAGCATGGGTGTTACAGCAACTTGGGGGAAAGTTGAAACTTCAAAAAAAAATCGGGCTACGTGAATCAAGCCGAGAAAAATAAGAAGACGGACGATAGCCACAAACAGCACAAAAAATCAAGTTTGCAAAAAAACAGGTCCCACTCGGATTCGAACCACAGGCCTTTGCCATCTCAAACAAGTGTCTTACCTCAACGACAAACGCGCCAGGCCGTTGACTGAATTTGTAGTTAGAATCAGAAACCATGCATTCGGTAGAAAACTGAAAATAAATGGGAAAAAAATCAAAAAATTGCTGACTTTTTTTTTTCATTTTCAAAATGAAAATTTAGGCGTGTTAAAAAACGTGCATAAAAAAAACTTCCATCATGTTACTTTTTTTGAATTGAAATTAATAATCAATTGAAAAGAATTTTAAAAAAACGCCCGGCAAATAGGTCGACAAAATTTTGCCGAAATCAATTAAAAGCCTACAAAAAAACTTCTATATCTGAAATTTTTTTACCAGTAGATCCAGTAACGAATCAACTCTAGGCACAATAATGCGAGGTGTTAAACGTGCAACAAGCTGGAAAATGAGATCCTGAAATTAGAGCTCATCCTGTGAACAAAGTTGTTAACGGAAAAAAAGTATCATATCCGATTGCAATACCCTTACTTCTCGCAACGGTAATCATGTTACGAACGTCTTAAGAATATAAACTTATCATCACTTGTGTTCAGAAGAATAAGAGGAACGATTATAGAAATGTACGAAGCTTGTAACGGGTTTTATGACAAACGCACCTGCTGCTCTTTTTGAGGCGAACGAAAAAGATTCGAGAGGAAACTTGCAAAATAATGGCGAATTAAGCAAATCTGGACACGAGAAAGGGTGTCTAAAGAAAACGAGCACCAAACGAGACAGGAACAACTAGCCACGGGAAACAATTCTTAGCAAGACTATCACCGAATTGACAAGCACAAACGGAATTGACATCTACGAGACATGACATGAGAATGACGAAACGAAGAAATAACTATAAGAGGCACAGCGAATAACGATCATAACAAACTTGCCTTTACCCGCTCAAAATTAAAATTAAACTCAAAATCTTCAATTCGATTTTTTCTCAACACCAGGACAACTTTTTGAAAACTTTTCAAGTTGTTTGAATTAAGACTAAAAAGATTTTTATATGATATATCATTCAACCTAAGGCGATGGTTATTCGTGGTACCTGATTTTGTGTGGAAAA